ATTTTTTCATGCATATTTATGAAGAATGAACTGTATTTACATTAATGTATATCTAAAGTGCTATAAGAATTAGGCATAATAAGGAGTGCAAAGTTTCCACATTGAAACAATGAAGGAGAAAACATGTATTAGGGCCCTTTTTCCAGCCTGGGTTCTGTTATGGAGCTCCTTCTTTGCCTTATGCCCTTTTCCATTATCGCTGAACAGAAATATATAATCATTACAATCATTAAAGACAACAAATAAAAAAAGTGCTTGGTTTTAAAAAAACTCAAGCCTGCAGCCACCAGGCCCTTTCACTGAAAATGACTGTGTATCACCTTTCTTTCTGGGAGAAGAGTTTGGCACCTGGAGAGCAGAAATGAATACATGAGATAGCAGAAAGTTACAGTACTTGCGGTCAAGAGGCGCATGAGCACTCTTTGTGTAATAAGTAATGAAATAGTTGGAAAACTGCCTTCAAAAGAAGTTTCTGGCCAGAAGTGAAGACTAGCCAAGGCATTTGTGAGGGAAAAAATAAAAAAATAAAAAAGTAGCATGAAACAAAACCAGAAAATATTCCACTCAAGTTTCTCACAATGAAATCTCACTAAAATAAAGTGTGCTGTGCCAAATGAAAATTTGCACCGCGTTTCTTAGGCAAGGTGCATTTAGGAGAGGGTGTTGAGCAGGGGGAAGGTTACCATTTGTTCTAAACCCATTGCTGATCTGTGAGGTCCAAAGGGAAGCATCGAGAACAAAGACCACCTACTTTTCCTTCTGGCCTGGCTGAATCTTTCTACTTCAAGTAGTTTTTAGAAGACCCCTCTTGCAGGTTGCCAACAAAATTTTCACAGCCACCAGATTTTCCATGACTTTAAATGTATCAAGAGCAGAAAGGGGGTTATTTCTAATCATGGAGAAACAAGAGAAGAGCTTTTTGAGGCTGATTTCTTAAATTGTTTACAGCTGAGAAAGGGAGCCATTTAAAAAGTACTCTACACAAAGTTTTCATTCAAACAAATGTTAGGGTAGGGGGTGTTAGGAAAGGGTATAGAGGAAATTCACAACCAAGAGAGCACAAAAGTCAGGTGGGCTTCCAGATTGTGAAGTGGCACCTACCTGTGGCCAGCCCCTCCTGACAACTTTAAGTGCCTTTAAGTTAGACTGTTGCACTCACCAAAGAGAATTAGATCATCTCTGGAAGACAAATGATCAGCAAATCAGATGGACTTTTTTGGTTAGGAAGAAAAAGAGCATTTCAACAAAGGAAATGTCAGTTAAAATGTCTTATTCTGCAACTTCTTCAAAGAAGAGAATCTGCTTGGTTCTATGAATTTTATTATTAAATCAATTAGTACTGGCTTCATTGGAACCCCCAAATTTTGTTTGCATAAGAATTGAAATGCAGAAAGTAATTATTTTCCACTTCACCAAATCTTCAAAGTTTGATCAGGTGGGTCTTGATATATGTCATATTTGTTATGACATATAATATAAACATCCTATGAAAAGTGATTATACCTTAATTTTTCTGAGGGTCACAGATTCTTCAAATAACCAAAGACAGAGAGTAGAATCAAGTTTAGTTATTTTTATTAGCACAAACTAATTGTACGAAGTGAGGGGTTTCACTGTGATATTTCCATACAGGAATATAATGCATTTTGACCACAAAATTATCAAAATGCATTATTTTACTCTTTATTACTCCCTCTTTCTTACTTAGTCTTTCTTTATTATTCTTTCTTATTCCCTCTTTTCCCATCTCCACTTGCAAATTTTTAAAAATAGGTTGCAATGTGACCATTTCATACTTATGTACATTGTACTTTTATCATATTCTCTCCCCCCTCTATCCTCTCCCCTCCCACCTCTTGCTGCTTCTTTTCCATTAGTGCTCCTTTTATATTCATGTTCTTTTTTTTTTTTTCAGATGTAGATTCTACATGAGAGAATGTATGGGATATTTGTCTTTTTAAGTCTGACTTTTCAGCCTAACATGATAATCTCTAGTTCTATCCATTTTATAGCAAATGACATAATGTGTTGTTTTTGTTTTGTGGTACTGGGGCTTGAATTCAGGGCCTACACCTTAAGCCACTCCAACAGCCCCTTTTTATGATGGGTTTTTCAAGATAGGGTCTTCTGAACAACTTGCCTGGGCTGGCTTTGATCTTTGATCCTCCTGATCTCTGCCTCTTGAGTATCTAGGATTACAGGAGTGAGCAACCAGCACTCAACTTCATTTTTCTTTTTTTTTTGGCTGAATAATACTCCATCGTGTACAAATACCACGTTTTCTTTAGCCATTCATCTTTGATGGGCAGTTAGGCTTATTATTACATTATTATAATTTGGCTATTGTGAACAGTGATGAAATTACCATATTCCTTTGGGTATATGCTCCAGAGTGGTATAGTAGAATCATATGGTAGTCCTATTTTTAGTTTTGGATCAAGTATTTTTTAACTAAGTAACAGCTTTGGAAATACTGTTTATTCTTCCACCACCCATTGAAAACCAGTAATCTTTATTTAATTTAGGAATATAATGTTAGGGAGTAATGTTAAAATACTGGCATATCATGCATGAGGCCCTGGAATTGATCTCCAACACTGCAAAAAGAAAATACTGGAATGTTATATAATTGTATACATTTTTTGGCAGTACTGGAACTTGAACTCAGGACTTACATACTTACTAGGCAGGAATTCTACTTCTTGAGCCACAACTCAGCCCTGTGTACACTATTTAAGAAAAGTCAAATCTTTTATCAGTATCACTGAGTGAAAAAATGTGTATACATCAGTGTCCTGAGTCAGTAATTGGAACCTGTGTTGCTAGCCTGCAAGGTGACCCAGATGATCCCTGACTCCCGATAGTCACACCCTTGTGTAGTCTCCCACAATGGACAGGGCTGATTTGTGTAACCAATAGGCAGTTGTGGGAATAGCAGTGTATGAATTCCAAGGTAATATCATAAAAGACACAGTAGGAGGAAGCCAGCTGACATGTAGTGGTGACCCTCAAGCAACTCTACACAAGGTCAATTAGAAAGGAATCTGGGCCTCCTAAGAGCACTCTCATGGTTGAGCCATCTTGGAGGTGGGTCTTCCAGCCCCTGTTGATGGTCTTCATGCAATCACATGAGACAGTGAGGTCAACTGTTCCCACATTCCTGACCTGCTGGAACTGCTGAGATAATGCATGTTTATTGTGGTAAATCACTACATTTGTTACTAGAGCAATAATAATCCCAAATCTGCTTTGCCTAAGAAATACAATGCAAATTTTCATTTGGCATAATTTGTTTTAATGAGATTTCATTAAAGACTTCAAAAGGGGTCTTTGCCTAAGAAAATTGGCTTGAATATGTCCTTTACCAAAACCTTTGTGGCATCGGGGGCACCAACTTCTAAGATGTTAAAGGTTGAGTGGGTTTCTGCGCACCTTCTCTTAGTTATTATGCACTTTTATGACTCTGTTCATTTCAAGTAAAACATTTATGTCTTTCCACCATGGAGGTCGGTTTGAAATTGCTGTTTAGGGGCACTGGAAGAACCAGGTGCTGAATAATTAAGGTTTCACATATCAGATAGGACAAAATATCTTTGAGCTTCATTTTTCTCCAATGGCAACAGAAATAACCTTTTTCACAAACCTTGGGAAGTCATGCTTTTATTGTTGACTCTTCTCTACTAAAATAGGATTTTCAGCGGCTGATGGATGCTTACAAACGGTGGACTGCTTTTGTAAAACGCTCTTTGACATCAGTAAAAAACACTTGAAAGCAGGCGAGTTGGGGGAAGGGCGCAGGGATTCTCTCACCTCTGCTTGGGCATCCCAGTGCCTGGCACACGGTATACCTTCCATAAATGTTTGTTAATTAAATCGATCTCGCAGATACCAGTAACTTCTGATCACTCACTCATTCCAGGTTACTGAACCTACCACGTTAGCTAATCTGTAATGGACACTGCGAAGGCTGTTATCTCAAAAGGATTTTTAAACAAAGCAACAAATCTGTTGTTTTTAAAAAAAAAACACCTTGTGCCCAACCTCAACGCAGTGTTTCGGATTTCTGCCCTAGTTTGACCTGGGTTCCTCACCGGGAAGGCGGGCTAAGGGATATGCTTGCTGCCCTTGAATCTCCTTCCTTTGTAGCTTTTTGGCCTGCGCGGTTCCGTTTCCCAGGCAGAGGGGCGCGCGCGCGCGCGCGCGGGGCTGCGCCCAGGAGCGCGCGCGGCCGTGGCTGTCAGGCGGGCGGGGCGGCCTAGGAGGCGGAGGAGCGGCTCCTCCCGCGCACATCGCCCCCGCGAGGACCGGCCGGGCCCCTACTTCCCTCCTGTCGCCCCTCAGGGTGGTTTAGCGTCCCTGGGGGGTGGGGTCGGAGCCCCCGCCCCAGCCCCAGCCCCAGCCCCAGCCCTGACAGCCCGCTAGGCAGCGGAGCGGGCGGGAGCGCGGATGCTCGCGGGCGGGCTGGGCCGGCGGGCGGCGTGGGAGGCGGGCTGCAGGGTTTGCCTCTAGGGCCAGGCTGTGTGGCAGGAAGGGCCGGGGCGAGCAGGAGGCGGCGGGTACCCCAGGCCTTGGGTTGGTATCCCAGCCGCGCCTCTCCCCTCCCCTGCCCGCTCTCGGGAGCCGCGGGCGCCGAGCTTTGTGTGCGCCCCGGGCCGGGCGCGAGCCTGGGGCGGCCCAACTTTGCGGCTCCGGGCCGGCTCCCGCGGTAGTTGTGAGGCGTGGCCGGGTGGAGGAGGCGCTTGGGGGGGCGTGGGGCTCCCCAGCTGGCGGCACGGCCGGAACGAGCGGCCCTGGACAATGAGCTGGACAGCTCGGCGCTGCGGCCACTTTTAGCTGGGGGCGCGGGCGGCCCGGCGGGCGACCAAGTGGCCCCACCTGCGAGGGGAGGGCGTGACGCGAGAGCCAGGTGCCCCGCTGCTTTAAGGCCCAGCGCAGTCAGGCGTCCCAGCCCTGCTGCTCGCACTGCTGCGAGGCTAACCCCGGGCGCGTCGCTGGTGCAGAGCTCTCCGAGCCCGGGTGGCCGCGATGGCCAGCACCAGGAGTATTGAGCTCGAGCACTTTGAGGAACGGGACAAAAGGCCGAGGCCGGGGTCGCGGAGAGGGGCGCCCAGCTCCTCCGGGGGCAGCAGCAGCTCGGGCCCCAAGGGGAACGGGCTCATCCCCAGCCCCGCGCACAGTGCCCACTGCAGCTTCTACCGCACGCGGACCTTGCAGGCCCTCAGCTCGGAGAAGAAGGCCAAGAAGGCGCGCTTCTACCGGAATGGGGACCGCTACTTCAAAGGCCTGGTCTTTGCCATCTCCAGCGACCGCTTCCGGTCCTTCGATGCGCTCCTGATGGAGCTCACCCGCTCCCTGTCAGACAATGTGAACCTGCCCCAGGGCGTCCGCACCATCTACACCATCGACGGCAGCCGGAAGGTCACCAGCCTGGACGAGCTGCTGGAAGGTAAGAGGGGCGGGCGCGGGCCGGCAGGTGCGGCCTTGCGCGCCAGCAGGTGCACTGGCCGCCGGCTTGCGCGCAACCCCACCCCCACCCCAATCCCCGCACAGCCGGGAGCCTGCGGGGGTGATTTCCAGGAGGCCACGGGAACTCCGTGCTTCTGTCAGGTCCTCTATGTAGGCTGTGTGCGGGGCGCCCACGCAGATGCTTTCTTTCCTTAAAAAAAGGAGGGGGAGGGGGATCCCAATGGTCAGAGTCCATTTCAAGTGTTGATGGCACCTCTTAAGATTAACCAATTTGTTTTTGCCGAAGTGCAGACTATTTGGGAAAACGGCTCTCCCGTGAAGAGCTGGGTCATGCCCTGGGTGATTGATGAGCTCTGGTCACGGTGTGAACCCCCAGTGCAGGCATCTGTAGTGTTTCCGTGTTAGGATCCTGCTGTCTCCGCTCTACTCAGCTGTGGTTGTGACAGGCCCCAGGTTGGTTTTCCTGGGTTGGCTTACTCCAGAAGTCACTTGAGATTGAGAGGGGTGATCCTAGGCAGCAGGTCTCACCTTGGCTGCATCTCAGATCACACTGGGGGTCTTTTAACAATATTGGTACCTGGCCCTTGTCCTTTAGATATTCTGATATGTTTGGTTTGGGCATTTAAAGTTTTGAAAGCTGCCAAATGATTTTTGATGTGCAACCAAGATTGAGAACCACTGCGCTGAAGGATTTTCCATAGATAGTTGGAAAGGTGAATCAAGGTCAATGTCTCCTACTTTCTCCCCTAAAGAGAATAGCTAGTTAAAATGGTAGAGGCTGTGAGAATCAGCAGTTGGGGCCTAATATAAACTAGTAGCCCTGGTGTAACAGCCATGCATCGCTCTAAGGGCTCCTTGGCGGTATATTGAGCCATTCTTGAACACCTGTGATGTTTACTTACTCGTAATTAAAAAGCCGTTTTCAGTTCTACAGGGCACCCAGATAGATCAGGCGGACCCCACTTGCCTGATCTGCGCACTGGACTGCATGCTTGCATGTGTCTGGCTCTCACGAAGCTTTCTTAATGCAAATGGTGCATCCATGTAACCAAATGGTCCAGCCAGGTAGCCATAGCCATGGCTAGAAGGAAACTGATCACTGAGGCAGGCATTTTTCTTATATCATCTCAAAATACTCCTGTTTCATATTCTAAAGGCATTATCTCCATTTTACAGATGAGGAAACTTAAGCAATGTATCTGGTCTTGCAGTGTCTACAGCATAGGCCTTTTCTGCACTTCATCCTAATTAGTTAGTGTAGCCACACTGAGGAGTCCAGAAAGTGGCGGGGTTTCTCTATCACTGTTATCAGATATTTTCCTGGTTCTGGTTAGATGACAGTCCAGCCAAAATTAAATTCTCTGCAGTGTGTGTGTGTGTTCACACATTGTCCTGGTTGGTAGTGCTTTGGTTTTAAAGCTTCAGAAAGAGGTAAAGAGATCTATAGGAGTATAAGTAAGATGAAGGTATAGCCCTAAAAGGGCCTTATTGTTTTTCTTAATCATGTTAAATACTTAAAGGAAACCTTTACCTAGATATTTCTAAACTGAATAATCACTTTTCTGACTGACCCAAGATCAGAGTAGCAGCCCTGTGGAAGAATCAAGGCAATGGCTATTGCTTAAGCACTGTTACTCACATACCCTTTAGATACTGTTCTGGTGTGGTCTTTGAAGAGTCAACAGTTTTAATATCTTTCTCTGAAGGAATTTTTTTTGGCAGTACTGGGGTTTTGAACTCATGGCCTAGTTCTCCCATTTGAGTCAGACTCCCAGCACTTTTTGGTTTTTAAATTATTTTTCAGATAAGATCTTCAGCTTTTTGCTTGGCCATCCTCCTCCTACCTGTTACCTCCCACATACATAGGAATAAAGGTTGTAGTCAGCAAGCTTATTTTTTGAGATAGGGTCTTGCTATCTTTTTACTTGGGCTGACCTTGAACCGTGATTCTATCTCTATCTTCCAAGCAGGTGAGATCTGAAGAGATTCTAACTGTGTATTTGTTTTATAAAATTAAGGTGCTTCAAAGGTGAGTATCATCATAGGAGAGATGATCAGAATGACCATTTTCCACATTCATTAATGAGAGCACATGTTATATACTTAGTTTGTCACTACTCAGGATGAATAGCCCACTGGGTTTAATTGTTAAACTATGGTTTCAACTACAAATTGATGATTGACAAATTTCCTTCAAATAGTTCATTCACTGATACTTGGAGGATGGAGATTTTGGAAAAACTAACTATGTGCGGTCCAAATCACACCTCAGTATGATAAATACAATTATAACAGATATCCGTACAACAGATGTTTCTGTGGCTTTGCTCACTTGTTTCAAGTTTTAATGTAATGAAATTACTGCAAGAAAATTTGGTCTTTTTTTTTCTGTCAGAGGAGAAGTCTTTCTGATAGTAGATCTTTGTCTAATTCTTGAATTTCCCACAAAGTGATTGGAATACACCATAGTAATGCTTTGTTTTTAGGACAGTAAATAACTGTACATAATATCAGTCATTCCAGAATGTAAAAAAGATTTCAAATTTTAGTTAAAAACATGTGCTCAAGCATTCAGAATTTATCATGTAGAATTAGTAGCCAGCTCTTGGTGAGGTTATTCCCATCAATAAATAGCTTTATAGTATTGCCTAAGTCATCAAAATTGGAGGCTTTGTTTTGTTTTAGTTGTCCACTTTTAATAAAGATTCTCCTCGGCACTATTTTACACCACTGTATTTGACTCTTCTCCCCTCTGCCTCTTTCATCCCATGAAACTTACAGTTTAGGAGATACTTTTTTTTCTTCCCCTAAATTATCTTCAGTGAGGAATGGAAAGCAGTGACTTAAGATCTGAGGGCATGAGCACTAATTCAGAGCCACAATCCCATATAGCTCAGAAGACAAAAGATATTTGCATGGCCTACAGTTTTTTTCTTCTGCCCTGGACCTTGACAGTCTCTGGAAACTAAAAGCTGTTCTGATGTTAGCACTACCCTAAACCAACAGGTGCCTTCAGACTATTGATTTACCCACATCACTGGGTTAATTTCACTGAATCAATGTTGTGTGTTCCTGTTTATTCTCTACAGCTGGATGGGGTCCTCCTTTCAGAGGAGGACTTTGACTCCTAACAGTCAATACTAGGAAAATCAGGTTGAGTCATCTGAAGCCTAAGCCAGCCAAGCTTGGAGTATCTCTAGTGGCTTACTGAGGATGTCTAGATGATGTGTTCCTAGGTTCTCTTCTATGGGACTGAGTCAGAACTCCAACTCTAGTTCTGTTCCAGGAGACTTCTTCCTTTCTGAGAATTTTGCCTGTGTTTATAAAATTTTGATGTCCTGAAGAAATATAACCGAGGACAGAAGAAACCAAGTCAGGATTGCTAGTTCTACTAACCGTGGCTTTGAGAAAAATTTCACCTTAGATCTCTGGCATCACTGTCCTTTTCTGTAGGATGAGAGGTTGACAGATCCCCTCTCCATGTTGGGTCTCTTTTGACCTAACAGCATGTACACTTCTCCTATCTGAGTGGTTATTCATCGTGCATGCTGACCTGGGCTGTCTTTTCCTAGCCACGTCTTTCTCCCGGTAAACTGATGAGTCTGCAGATGTCCCACTACCAAGTGAGGAGGGCCATGTGTGGCTCTGAAGTGTTTGCCAAGAGCCAAAGAGATTCACAGTGACCTGTTTCTGCCTCTCTCATTCCAAAGTAAAATGTCATTTGATGTTATTTGTATCTCTTATTTCTCTATAAACAATAAGCTGAATTTTTGGCATGTGAGAATTTTGCTTTTTTTGATACCTTCATTTCTTTACTAAATTAATTTGAATATTCAAGAAAAATAAGATTCTAAAGAAGTCAAGCACCTCGGATTCTCCCATCAAGACTAGTCTACTGCTCCTGTTGGGTAGGTCATTGTCTTGAAAATGTAGTTGCTGGGAGTCTTTAAGTAAAAATGAGTCTCCATCATAAACTAGATTACACTTAGGTTTTTTTTTTTTTTCTTTTCCCTGAAAGGTAGTTTGAAAAAAGTAGTAGAAACTGAGCTTTGGGAACATGTTATAATGAAGAATGAAACTTAAACCTATGAAATATTTGTACATGAAGTCAAAAGCAATACAAATTAAAGGCATATATGACAGTTTGCATTCAGCAGTTTAATGCTGAATCTTTGATCCACGAAGCCTTCTTTACCTGCCTGGCTTCTGATACTGAATCTGTAAGGCCTGCTTCAAATACTACCTCTATATGAGTATCTCCTGCTAACAGGTTAATGGAGGGCATAATGGTTGTGAGTCATTGTTCCACGTGCTGGGGTACAGTCTCCTCCCTCAGGTAACCCACATCCTAAGGGAAGAGACAGTGAATGCACACACATGGGGTTTTAGCTGAAGTATTGGAAACAAAGTAGTAATGAGATGGAGAAGGCTTCTTGGAGGAGTGGACATTGTAGCCAAGGCCTGAGGTTCAGTTTATAACTCTTCTCTGCTGACAGCACGTTTCTTTACCTGTCTTCCAACCTCGGCTTTGTAATCTAATTAGTGGTACATTAGGTCTGCCTTTTGCACTAGACTGAGAGCAGTTTGAGGTCAGGGATCTTAGATCCACAATAAATTCATTGATTAGATGATCCAGAAATGGTTTTGCCCTTAAGTTCCTTAGTTGTCAAAAGAAGTTTTATACAAATTAAGGTTGGATTTATTTTAGCTAAATCAAAGAGTTCATAGTTGAGGAAGATCTGTGCTAACTTAACAGTGCAGAGGGAATGACTCTTCTGTAATGTCTTCTATAAATCTCATTGTCCTCTTCATTTCCTTAAAGCAAGGAAAAGCATGTGTTATAATACAGCTGCATAATAAGCTATTTCTAGAAGTAACAGGAAGGGGAATTCTCACTTGAATCAACTACAGGGCTAGGGGAAGAAAGGGAGTGTTTAGGAGAACATTTATGAGATTAGAGTATGAAGTGGTGATACTCAG